TTTTCTATTCCTTTGTATTCCCCCCTTTGATGAGGCGAACAACAATTTTTTTCATCCTCAATTAGTAAAATGACTTCTTTCCCTTTCTTGCACTTTTTAAGTTTTCTGTTGTCCTTTCTTCAACATTTTCTGCCTACTAATTATTATGCTTTCCAGGTATTTTCGAGATAAACTGAACAATTATGTTGTATTTAAAATATGTTGTAATCTGGTACTTTTGCAGTGGTACATATTACACTGAGGGTTGAGAAATTAAAGCTTATCACATGCCAGAATAAATGATTTTGTTGTCTTTATGAAAGAAAAAGTGTAACGAATTCTGTGGGTTTAATTTTAGCATTCCAAGTATTCTATAAAGAATAGTGTTGATCAAAATCGGTCTTGGTCTTGCACTTTGCGAGTAACGACCAAGACCAAGACTTGGGAAAAAAAATCGAATTTTCGAAAATAAAATTAAGTTAAAATAGTTACTAATACTTGACAATTTTAGTTACTATATGTTAAGAATTGGCATTACCAAAATAGTTTTGCATTTAACTCTTCTAATTTTTATCCTGGCTTAGTTAGGTTTCTCCTATCTAAAAAATTACAGTAATCTCTCTGTAGTTATAAGATAATATGTAATTGCAAGATTCTTGTGCAAGACCAAGACGAGTCTTGGTCTCGAATTTGGGCAACACTAATAATGAAATACATAAACCGATCAACAATACGTTGGTTTATGTTATATTTTTATTCGAGATTGATCTATGGAAAAAAAAATATATGTATCACATCGTCGTTTAGCAACATGTATCGATCTTGATTATTTTCATATTCTTCTATGATGGAAAAGAAATTATCAAATGTATCTCACAAGCCCGTCAAATATTTTAGCCACTCTTTGTGATTAAATTTTCGAACATTCGCGATTTCATGTTCTGGGAATGGGAGCTAAAATTTCATGTTTCCTATTAATATTGGAGTGGTATTAATGGCTTACACATATTAAAAAAATTAACACGTGTATTCCGTTTAACAAAAACAATGAGCTTTTATCGCTTATTCGGGCTTTAACTTTTTCCTCATTCAGTAATTCTTCAAGAGAGCTGTATTTATTTACGCATGCATCCGCCAAGCAAAAAGCATAAAATATTTTTCTTGAAATAGATATTAAAATTTGCTTTAATTCAATTATCTAAAGTACGAATTGAAAAAAAAATTACAATAATTAATAGTTAAGTAATGACAAAAAAAGAAAGAAATAATTGAATAAAACTAGTTGGCCCGTGCGAATAGTTCGCAGAAACTTTTGTGTAGTTAAAAAATAGAAAAACTATATAAAAATAAGTAGTTCCTTTGTATTATGTAAGGAAGGAATTAATATTTTTTCCTTGGTTGATTACCATATTCCATTTAACATAATAGACTAAAATATTTATACAAATTGCATTGCTGGGACCTATTTTTAAACGTTGAATGGAAAGATAATAAAAGTAATAAAGACAAAATAATGCCTCGATCATGGGATTTTCTAAATTATAAAAAAAAGAATATGTAAGAACAAACAAATACCTTTAAGAAATAATAAAGTTAATATATCAGCCAGGAAAAAAAGTCTAGACTATTCTACTCCTAAATGCTATATATTTAAAGACAAAGACAATATTAACTATACCAAAATTAATGGACTGTATCTTTGTTAATAATTGTCCGATTTTTTTTTTTTTTTTTTTTTTTTTGAGCTGTGAAATACAAATCTCAATTCTCTTCCTTCTTAAAAAAATATATACAAATTGTTTAAATTTTACATATTTCTAACCTATTTTTACAATTGTTTTTTGTTTTGTAGGTAATTTAGTAATCTTTCTAACTATCATTGGTACATTCGAGAAAAAAAATGCATACTTTTTGAGTTATTCGCGAAAAAAGTTTCTTTTCCATAACTTTTTTTCCAGAAATTTCGGGGGAATAGGACTATTTTTCGCATTTGAAGGAGCAAAATATCTTCAAATTAGTTTTCAATCATTGGATTTGATGAAGAATTGACGAAGTAATGGCGTACCGACAAAAAATCACCTTTTAGAAATAATACATAAGATAACTAGTTCAGATTTTTTCCATCGCGATTGGAAATAAATTGCTGATTTTTGTTTATTTTAATGAAATTTACAACTGTATTACATGGAAAATACAACACGTAAATGTCACATTGGTGACCCATTGGTAGAAGTCAAATTAAAGTTCTATATTAGAAGGTCCCGAGGCCATCTTCTTTTCAGACGCCTCGGAGGGTTATCAGCGATCGAGGAGAAAGCAAGTTTTGAAACGAGAGGATTCGGATGGTTCTGCAGTTTGTTATGGAAGGATAGGTATCTGGATTGGGCCAAAACTGAAACATATGGAACATTAAGCTCTTTATGGATGATTTTATTTGTGACAAAGTACGGAGCGTTGAGGATTTTACGAAGGATTGGATACGAGAGGAATTCGATGGTTTTACTGAATTTTTAAATCTTAAATGTATTTTTATTATAGTTTGAACAGACGCTACAGTGTCCATCTTTTTTTTTCTCAATTATTAACCACTGAGGACTGTTTAATAATACATGAATTATTATATTTTTAAATTATTGTAATATCACAAACATATAATTTTTACGTACTTCGTTTTCAAGTTCAATGTTTTATATAGATCTGAGTAATTTTTAATAAATTTGAGATCTTAAGTTTCTGTGTATTAAAAAAATATCATTTTAAGATAATAAATTTTGATATATATTTGATTAAAGTAACGTTTCGAACGATTTTAACAACTACCATGTTTCGAATTATGGAAACATACTCGGGTGATTGGAGTGTGATACTGACCACATTGTATGCATCAATTACGTGATTGTATCCCCTCTGATTATTGCCATTTAATCTATTAATTGGTACTCGTGATACAGTGTGTATATGTCAATATTAGAGCTGTAGTAGTTCAGGATCGATTTGTTTATTTATTGTTATAAAATAGTGATTTTATTTATTAATTTATTTTATTTTTATGGATCTTTTTATGGCACAATCATAAACGTCACAGAAAAATCAGGCAGATGTTGAGGTAAAACGTTTGTTAACCGTTAAAGACATAATAATTATCAAATACCTCAAAATTTGTTATCAATAGTAATTGTGATTATTAAGCGTTTAAAGGTTTATATTTTGAGCTTGGACTTCCTTCATAAAAATGATCGTAAACGCCATGAAAAGATATTAACATAATAGTCCGTTTAACAGGCACCTTTTTATCGGATTATTAACATCCCCCAGAAACTTCGTAAATAGTTTCATCTCATAGTAACCTACAACTATTTTATTTACGAAAACTCTTGGAATTTTGGCGTTTCAATCAGAAAGGGGACAAACTTCGTTTATTTAATTAGATACTAAAAACTCGTAAATGCTCATTTGATTTCTACTTCGATCGTAAGATAATTTGATTACAAAATAAAAGGTTTTTCTAGGCCTTCAAAAATACGTGACACAAATCCTCAAATTTTCAAAATTTATATAGGACAAACGGACCAATATTTTTATAGGCCACCTTTTATTTCTATTTTCTGCGCGAACTTCGGAATTCGTGGTTCGATGCCGACACAGCCAACCATACATTGCACACCTCCCTCCACCTTTCGCCATGTAAACTCAGTCTCTTCAAATCAGCTTTAACGCAATCTTCCCACCTTCGCTTCGGTCTACCCCTCGGACGTTTATCATTCGGTACAGCAAATATTAATATTTTAGGAATTCTTTCGTAACTAACCCCAACAATTTTTCGCCGGGATGAAATCATCTCAATTATATTAACCGGATACAGTTCACGCAATTTGGATCTTAAAATAAGGACATCAGTTTAAATCCACATGTGCTAGTTTTAGGTGAAAATTTCTAATATTATAAAATTAGGCTTATTTCTTCACCATATTTATTTCAATTTACATAGTTACGTTGCAGCCAGTAAGCCATTTTCAAGCCACCTATAAGATAATCACTATTAATTTTATATTTTGATGTAATTCCACACTCTATGATGCTGGTATTGGTCCTATTTAATTTAATATTCTATGAATTATAACCCTAATTAGGTTACGTCTTTTTTTAAATTTGTAATTAACACTTCCAGTTAATTTGTAAATTAACAGTTCCACTAGATGGAGGTCGCTTTTTAATTCAAGTTCAATGCTTTTTTATTAAAGTATATCAAGGTAAGATCAACAGACATAAATTATTTTAAATTTTAAAACGTCCTTACTACCATGATTTTTGCATGTAGTCCAAAGTCAGATTAAATTATAAGTGTGGTTGGGAGGTTGCACATTGTTATACTGCTCACTTATTAAGGGTTATCTTTTAAAACATTTGATTAATTTAAAAATCAATTTTGTAGTTTTATTGGCATATGTTCTGTTTAGTCCTTTTGTATCTGCTTGGAAATTACATACTGTATCTAAATTTTTAACGTTTAATATTCGGTACAGAAAATATTAACCTTTTAGAAATTCTTTCGTCACGAAGCCCAACAATTTTACAAGCCCATTTGATTCGCCGCGATAAAATCACCTGAATTATATTAACCGGATATAGTTCACGCAATTCGGATCTTAACATAAGGACATTTATTTATTTATAATTTAATTTGTTTACTTATTCTTTTATTTTATATTTAATGTTACATCACTTTGTATTTTAATGATTCTTTGCCGTTCGTTATGTGTTGACTAATCTAATCTACATTCAATAAAGAAATCTAAATGCACCTTATATTGTTCATATTCATTATTCTTAGGGGACTAAATGTTCCAGAATATAATTTAGTTTTCTTCTTCTTCTTCTCAGTTTCGTAGGTGGCAAGATTGATAGTGTTTACTAAACAACATTGCTACGAAAAACATCAATTTAAAGGATATATTTTGTTTTCGACAGCTTTAATACATTCAATAGCGTTATTTGTTTCCCACGAGACAAAAGAATATTTGTTATAAATCATTGTCATGATGATAAAAAGATCGGGGAACCCATTGAAATCGTTCCCTTATAAGAGTTTTGAAAGCGTGTACGTAGCACTTGACTGAGCCGACGCGCGGTGTGAAAGGACTCAACGTGCCGGAGAGAGTCACAATGCGACAAGATGAACGACCTCCGGGGAACAGGGATTTCGGATGAAAGCTCCCTTCTTGGTCTTTTGATAGAGACCTCCTCATATCCATAAAGCAGGTTTCCTCGTATATTGCATGCCAATATCCGCTGCAATAATCCATGATCGTTCTTGGCATATAAATTATTGTCAAAGGCACGTAATTATCAGAGTTTGAAATCGGTAATTATAAAAATCAAAGCACATCCAAATTTTCATCTGGATTATATAAAAATCATTTGATGATTTTTATTAACAGCGATTTTTATTTTTTATCATTTTTTTACAATTAATAATAATAATAATTATTGAGTAATACTTTTAAAAATGATAAATACAATTTTTTTTTAATCTCTATGATATATTTTGAGTCTGTAGTAGTAAGTGGAGAATATTGATGTCCACCGTTAGTGAGAGAATATTTTTATTTCCGAAATTCATTAGAAATTTTGGCTTCCTAAAAAAAAAAAATAAAACGTATATAGGTGGACAATTAAAATATATACTATTCATATATAAATATTTTTAAATAATAAATATCATAAATGAATACAGAATAATACTAAAGAATACTAAAGAAAATTTACTATACAGAACACTACTAAACAAACAGCAGAGATCTTAGGGTTACAAACGCACATGTTGATACAAATAATAATAATAATAATTAAAAGGCACCCAAATTGTTAAGAACACGTCACACTTAATAACATTTATCAATATATTGCGTTCTATTAGAAGCCAGATTCACTATATAAGGATAGATGTAGTTTGGTATATCGCAAAGGCATTTTTGATTTGACCCGTTATTTATTTAATTTAATTTTTTTCAACATAGTTTAAACATTTTTAATAAATATGTTGACTCAACAATTTTTCCTGATATTAAAAATTAGAAAAAAAACGGACTTTTTTCTTAGCAATCCAGTTCAACAAATTAAACTAAACAAGAAAAAAAAATGAACATTGTCTTATGATTAATCAAAATAGTAGATGAATCATTGGTAATCTTAGACGTGTTTGATGATTAAAGGAATCGAAAGGGAAGCTAGCATAGAAATTTGATGATTTTAATTGATCAGCATTCTAATTTTCTAATATTTAATTTATTTTTTAATATTTCTAAGAGATTCTAATAAACAGTAGTAATATTATTCGTTCCAAATCAGCAACCTGCAAAATATTTAGTGTATTAATGATAATTTTATTTTTAGATGTATGAAAAACCTTTTAGCATTTCAAAGGACTTTTAATTGTTGACAATGAGAAAACTCGTTTGTTTACTGGACATATGTTTACATGAAATTCATAGCATATCAGCATAGCTATGAATAGATACCATATGGATAAAGTCAATTCAATAAATGGATGCACTACTTGAAAGATAGTAGATAATATAAATAATATAATATGTAGAAATGCGTTTGCTTGCTAATGATGTTTAAGTAATAATTGTTAATATGTAGATGAGGTTGCTGTTAGCATTTTTACTTTCCTACCTAAAGTAGGATATTGCGATCGGGTCAAATTTCCAATATGCTGTTTTCGACTGATCTATACGTTTCAGAGCCTCCTGAGTCCGAAAAACACATTTTAAGCTATTTGTCTGTCCGATTTTGTCGTTTATTTTTTATTTTTTAGGGTTTTGACTAATGATGGATGTGACACAAATTGAGAGCTCCATGCGCAATAGCTGCTGGGCAATAAATGAAAAACATGTTTTTCTATAGACTGTAGCGCGAAAATGGCTCTAAGGATTTTGACGAAACTTTCCTATAATGTTCTGATGATTGTCCTTTCAATTTTCGTATATGGACTTAATTCCCAAGAAAATTCAGGAAGAAAAGTTTAAGAGGATGCACTATATAAATCATGACCGATTGTATTATGGAACTTGTCAGATATTCAAAGCTAGGTAGTCGTACCTCACTCAGTTAATGAAGGCCGAGGTGAATGGGCAGTGGCTTTTAATAACTGATCAAGGTTTACTTGAAGAACGTGACACACAATGACATTTAAAGTTTCAAAGGATATTTATAATTTAAAAAAAAAATTAAAACGTCCGATTTTACTACTGATAGTAGCATAAATGATATCTATGTCAGGGACCTGGATAATATAACAAAGTTCTTTCAATGTTCCAGTATTGCTCGTGTCATTGATGAAAAAAAAGTAGAAGAACTTAAAGGTGGGACAATAAATCAAGTTGAAGTCCGCAAGGACACTTTCGTAGCCGTGTGGCAGTCGAACTTGATGCATTAGTTCTCACCGATGCTTGGTATCATTGTCGGATTCATTTTCCTCCTTTTTATAATTATTTTTTGTATCATTACTTGATATTTGAATTTACATGTATCTGTATTATCAACGAATATGCTATGAAAAAGTATTTAAACCATGCTTAGATATCATTATTTTTTTTTCTTTTTCATTTGCAAATTGAGCATTTAGGATCAAGCTACAATATTATTTCTTCAAATGAATGAACTTTCCTTTTCCTCCGGAACTTTTCACAAGGACGCTGTGCAACGGCGTCCAGTCATCCTTCCAGGTTCTTCCACTCCTCGCAGTTCATTCATCTTCAAACCTTTCCAACCTTGAATCGTAGCTTGAAAACTATTCCTATCTAATATATGAACCTCCAGGATATTGGACCTTTCTAGATCCTTCCTTGTCTTCTTGTTCCACAGGTAGTCGAATATCCTTTTGATTAATGTGTCTTTGTCCATTCTGTACAAGTGTTAGAGAAATTATGACCTCATCTTTCTCATAGTTTCCGAAATTATCTTCACTTCTTTATAAATTTCCTCGTTGTTCCGAAGTTTTCGCTGGTTCATCGTCTGCATTCGAAGGCACACTGGTTTTTTTTTTCTACCGCGATGTTATAGTGATTTTCTTTGACGTACCAAGAGATGGATTTTTTATTTTATTTTTTTATTTGTTAACGTTTTGACCTCTCGAACCATTTTCAAGATTCTGTAAATTGTTTTTAAAATTTATTTATTTCTCTTTAATGTATATATTATTATAAACAGTCTGTTACATGTTAATTAGGGCAGGTAGATCATTTTTTAATTAATTTTAACCCAAATTGTCCAAATATTGTTATGATTTATAATCTTTTTTTTTTCTTAAATATAATAAAGACCATATATGTAACAGACTGTATAATGATATATTTTGAAGAGAAATAACCAAGTTAAAATTTTTTTACTGAATCTTGGAAAACGGCTCGAGAGGCCGAAATGTTGTCAAATAAAGGAATAAGTGAAAACGTATGTTATTGTTGACCTTTCGCGCAATACTTAAAAAAGCAAAAGAAAAACATTTCAGTGTTATTTATTTCGCCTATTAAAAGAAATTATGTCAAATGAGAAATAAACAGTAATGTTAACTAATCTGAGTTTATTTTTTTTCTGCCATGATTAAGATATTTTACTTAATTCGTATATAATAGTGAGTTGATGGTTGGATGTAGTGAAAAATCGAAGAGAGTTGGTTGGGGCGCTCAGTAAAAATTTTTTTTTTCTTTTTTTATTGATAAATATTACAATCTGTCTCAATAAAGGACATTTATAATAGAGTTCTGAGATCACATTCACACCAATAAGTCAAAAATAAAATGTAAAAATAAATAAATTATATTTATTTCTATTTTTGCTGATGTTCCGGCCCAAAGCTCAGGCCTTTATCAGAGCTGATCTCACGAAATGTTCTCGTAAGATTAGAGTTGCCCAAAATCGAGCTTGGTCTTGCAAAGTGCAAATACCAAGGTCGACTAACTGTTGCAAGAGCAAGACCAGGACTGGTAAAAAAAATCGATTTTTAAAATAAAAATTAAGGCAAAATAATTACTAATACTTTACAATCTTAGTTACTATATGTAAATAAATAATTGGTATAATCAATATATTTTTGCATTTAACTACTCTAATTTTTCATTCGAGCTTAGTTAGGTTTCTCCTATCTTAAAAATTAAAGTTATATCTGTATAGTAATAAGCTAATAAGTAACTGCAAGACTGTTGCGAGACTTTTGCGCAAGATTAAGACCATGACCAAGACTGAGTTTGGAAGACCAACTCTGTCTCGCATTACGCTACGGAAGATCAATAATTTGTATACACATTGTTTTATTTATTTTTTTATAGTAATTTATGATTTTTAAAAAAATATATTTACAATGATAACCATCAATATATTCTTTGTTGATCTTACATCCAAAACAGCAACAACACAATTTTAGTGCTAAAATTTAACATATTTCTTTTAGTCAAAGTCTTAAATTAATATTGACAAGTCAATAAACTATGTGTGAATACTGATATGACTTCAAGTTATATTTCAGAGCCCAAATAGAATTAGATCAATACTTGATATTGGATCTCGGTTTATAACAAACACCGAATACAATGCGAATATAGCTTAGTAAGGGGAGTGCAAAGTTGTTTGTTGTGGGATTCACTATTAGGGCATTAAAGCCATCAAAGGATGACCTCACCCTGATATTAGATATTGTTTACTAAGTTACTTAATCACTTAATTACTTTCCCGCTTTACTAAATATTAGCCCGTTGATTGATTTGGTTGCTAAATAATTATTTTAGTACCTTACTGATAACCTAAATAATTATGTACTTGTACATTTTGTTATTAAATAGTATAGGCCACGTTCTTATTGTACCTGTTTATATTTTACGTCGTGTATAAATTTTTTTTTATTCGTGATATTTACAACTGTATTAAATTAAAAATACATCTAGTCAACGTGTACACATGGAACGATGCAATCACATGAAAACGCTTGTTAAGAAACTACCCGTTGGTTTTTTCTAATAATATATTTACATAAGTAGATCAGGAGGGCACCTTCTTTTCAGACGCCTTGGAGGGTTAGGTTTGTTATGGAAGGATATGTATCGGAAACACATGGTAAGTTAAGGTCGTTATGGATGATTTTATTAGTGACATAGTAAGGAGCATTGAGGATTTTGGGTTGTAAGGATTGGATACGAGAGGAATTCGATGGTTTAGTGGAGCACCAAGGCTCAATTCCGCAAGTCCAAATTGGCATTATTATAGTTATGCATATGAGTCTTTCGTAATATATTGGTAGTTCAGAGAGTTTGTCAAAAAAAAAAGTTCATGTGTGGATGATATTAAGAGAAAGTTTTAGGTATATTGTAAATTTTATTAATTTATTATCGTTTGTATGTTATCATCCATGTATTTTTTTTTAATGCTTTACTTTGTAAATTAGAATATTATTAAAATAGTTACGTTTAATAGGAAGTTTTCTATTCTTGGAGTTGAACTCTAAGAAAGTAAAATAAATTTATAGCATTTATCTACTTTTTTTTGTTATATATTTTTCAGTAGCTATTCGGGGAAACGTATACAATTATTTATTATAAAAATCACAAGTTTTTAATTTATTTATATGCCTTTATTTATTTTTATCTTGAAGTTGCAGTATGTGGACTGTAGTCGATACATTGTGTTTATGGAAAAACCTATCTGTTGCTATAAGTTGTGTCTTAAGAACAATAAAATGTATTTATACAGTCTATTATTGTGGCCTACTATTGAGGTGTTCATTATTGACTAGAGGCTTTCAGATGGGTTACTCCGAGCTGTCTGCCCCGCCCATCTTAATCGCCTTGCCTTTATACTTGAGACATTTATTGTCTAGTTTCTGTAAGAATATTTTTATTGCTTTTCCTCCTCTAGGCGTTAGTACTCTGATCATCGACTTGGTTATCGTGCAGAGGATTATTCTTTCTAAATTAATTTCTTGGGTGCTATATATATATATATATATATATATATATATATATATATATATATATATATATAACTATCTTTTTTAAAAAATATATAGTTCTAGGTAAATTCGCGACGCTTCATATAGAGCGTTTACTTTTTTACTTTGTTTCTTATTGACCTGAAATTCATGCTTCAGCGGGAATAAATCAACAAACAGCATAACCGAATGGAAAGTGTTACCTGTTAACAATGCTGTTGAAGGGACCAGATATTGGAGGAAACAATTCAACTTTGTGATCTCTTTGTAGGGCAGCAGGCTTGAAAATACTAAAAGGAAAAAAAAAAATTGCAAGAGAAAAACTATGGGGAAAAAAGCACCGTTTTCGCTTTTGATCATCCAGTGGGAAAATATTCTGTTACGGATGGTATAAAGCATTGTAGCAGGACATAACATTCCTAAACCCTTTTGGGATTCCTGATTCCAGATAGTTCGCTTCTCGAGTTATTCAATCAGCATTCGATTTATCAAAAATAAATAATAGGAGGATCCTAGGCGTGAATTATGTCATCAAGAAATAATGGATGCAGACCACCTAGACACATGTTCTGCCTTGATGGACATAAGAAAAAAGTAAAATAAATTTCTATTTTACTCACATGAAAAATGTGAGTAAATTGAGGATTGCTAATGAGCCTAGCGGTTAGAGGCATACAAACAAATAAAGAAATAAATTATATACTAATATAAATTGGCAAGAAGGAGCAATGTATAATATAGATTTTTATAGAAATTAAAAGTTTTCCTGAACTGGTTTCGTTCAGTTTATTTTATGTTGATTAAAAAATAATTCAATCTGAACTACAGAATGCATGTAAATTAGAGTTATACAATTTGAGGAACTAGTACAATTAAATGAACAGTTGTATAATTTGTAAAATGGGAGTTGATCCGCCGTTAGGCGGTACCTCCTGGTTTGGTACCTCGATAGTAATTTTTAAAAATAAAATCATGAAATAATAATAATTAAATATGAACTAACAATTTATATACATATTTACAGCATCGCTTATTTATACATTTTTGGAGCTTGGTGGAGAAATAGTGGTTGAATAGACGGGATTTAAATATGGGGAGGGTCTTGGAGTGACGGATGGAAGAAAGGACGGAATTCAATAGGGGCTAGGATCTAGGATTGAGTAATAATCGATAAAGACAGAGAACGAGTATTGTGGGAGTGAACAGAGTATTTGAATTGAAGGATCTCGGGGATATATGAGGGACGGAAATACAATGATAAAAAACATAAAGCGACTTCACAACAAATAATAATAATGCATAATTGGGAGTTTTACCCCGAGACACCCATTAGTTAATTTTCCCGAAATGGATGCCTATTTATTACATTATAATCTGTATACTTACTAGTTTTTATTGTTCCGTCTTTACAGACCTTTCTTACTTAATCTATCCTCTATCGCTATCTTCGGATTTTGAACATATAATGTACCCTAGACCTTTTAACATGGTACCTCCATGTGAATGTTTTTCAAAAATTGTCATATATATAAACATTTAGATATATATATATTTTTTAAAATCAATAAAATTGAAATTACAACATTAATTCAAGATATCGTAAAAGTTTCTTATGATACTGGTATAAACAGAGTAATAGCAAAACGTCCCCAATCTACCACTGTCTGACAATTAGAGTGATTAAGGATAAAAGCATTGGGGCATTTCAATTTGGCGGGAACTATTTTCGTTTTGGCGGGAGAGGGGCCAGCCGGTGACAGCTGACGAGGAGGAGCAACTATTTGTTAATTCGGCCATTGCGGGGATCAATTTGGCCCAGCTGATGACCCAGTGCGGTTACAGCTCATCAGATCCCTCTTCAGTTCTAGTGGAAATTCCCTCTGCCATGGCCATGTGAACTGTTAGTTTAGAAATACTGTTGGATGTTTTTAGGGCCATGGTAGACCGCTAAATCCTAGAAGTTTCGGATATACTAGTATTTTCCTTTTTTTTGGTAGTGTATTTAATCTACGGACCCACACTCATTGTCTGCAGCCTGAATTTATAGAACTATAGCAATTAATTGTGTAATTTTATAAAATAAACGTTAAAAGAATAAAAACTGAGATGTGTTCGTTATATTAGACCTCTCTTGAAGTATAAACATCAACAAGGCGAGATCAAGAATATAAAATATAAATTATAAGTACATTACAAAGAGGATGAAATGCTGGACATTTCCCTCGATTACAGTATGCAATCATACATTTTTATAATTAGATATTTTAATTCATATCTTCAATAAAACTCCTTATTATTTGGTTTTCGGAACTATTTTTTTTTAATTTTTTCCTCCCTAACTCGGCCTCGCGTTAAGATACAATTTTGAATAACAGCCAATTAAAGAGAGGATGAAATTCTGAACTATTCTCTACCTTACAGTATGCAGGTCCAAATTTTTATTTTCTGAGATATTTTAATTCGTATGTTCAATAGAATTCCTTATCATTTGTTTTTAACACTTTTTTTTCATTCGTTTCCTCTCTTACTCGCCATGCGTTAAGATAAAATTTTTAATAATAGTTCATTCCAAAGGAATGAAGAACCTTTTCCGATTTACATGATGAACAATATACTGATTCGATTTTGTTTTCGAGATATTTTAATCCATATGCAAAAACAATTCAATTCAATCCAGCCGTCTATACTCGAGCGTTACATGTCGGAGATCTGACGGGTCAATCTAATTAACTTTCTGCAAAAAAAGTGCAAAACGCGCCTAAATTAGTTTTCACTTAAAAAAAAAAACTTTAACAATACAAGCCATCGTGGGTCTACATCACTTTATAAGGGCAGTATTAATTAATTATAATAATAATTAATTAATTCGTTCATTAATTTCCTCAGCTTAACGGTGCTGCCTGAATTCATATTAATATATCCGTACCGAAGATGAAACAGAACTTTCAGTCAAGATATTTTTATTAGGTTAAACAACGAAAACATGTGGGTCATGGGCTATCGTTTGGAAGTCGAGACAAGAACTGTTCTTGCTAGTTTACAATAGCCTAGTGACGCGACGGCTAACCTAATAAAAATATCTTCACTGAAGGTCCTAAAAATTTTATTTCATCCTTATAATTGATCATTTATGAAATCGGGGACCTCACAAATGATTTTTAACGAAAAATTGGACAGTGTAATTAAAGGAAGGATACGTTGCAATTGGAAGAACAAGAAAAGACATATGGCTTAATTCTGAATTATCACTATCCATGGATAAAATATTATAAATAAAAGAGCTGATTCTAAAGTGCTTCTTGTATACGATTCATTAACTAATTGTAAATATAAGGTTAAATGTACATTGCATATTATCGCATAGTGATTTGAACTGAACTAAGTTCGCTGTTTGTTAACTGTTTAGAAATGTTGCTGATAACGCTTTGACACCGAAGAGAAAATTATTTCGGTTTCGGTTCATTAGAGGGACACTGGCACCGGATGTTGGATGAACTCGCTAATGAACGAGTTTGCCTTTCATGAATAAAACATAGTGTTTGGTAATCGTTAGTTTGTGTAAACTACGCCATCATGATAAATATGGTACGTCTCCTGATTATGTCATGGTATTATTGGATCTGGGACGTTGTCAAGCCATCAAAAGAAACTAATTCGATATTTTTTGTGTTTTAATTAGGTTTTTTTTTCAATATCTTATATAGCGCCTAGTATATGTAATACTAAAGTGTCAAAAACAAGCAAAAACAAAAAAAAAAATGTGACAAAAACAAATCATTATATTCTTTCTGTTGGTTACCTTCAAGTCGTTTCAATAAAATAATCACGCCTAGTTTGTTGATGATTCTTTATTAATTTGTACGTTTCGGGAAATCTATGTCTCATTCTTTAACATTTTTTTTTTTATTTTAATGAAAAATACAACAAGTAAATGTGACATTGGTAACATGACATGTACAACATGAAGAGAAACTTCACATTGGTAGAACTCAAATTAAAGTTCTATATTAGAAGGTCCTGAGGCCATCTTCTTTTCAGACGCCTCGGAGGGTTATCAGGGATCGAGGAGGAAGCAAGGTTTGAAACGAGAGGGTTCGGATCTTCAACATTTAAAATTATATAAATTGTACATTATAGGTTCTATCCTAAACCAATCATTCTTAATTGTAAAATAAATATTTCCTGGAAATACATCTATATAATTTCCAACCATTTAAGATTGCATTAAAAAAAAAATGAATGTTATTGTATTGTTATTATATGACAGCTTCAAGATGGCATTCCACTTGTAATTGAAGCCGCCAATACGGCGTGGGACAAGTTTCTGCCTGGTATCGATATGTTAGAGAAAGGTCAAATGCTCTAGTATCTTGTCAAGTTACATTTTCATGATGCAATACTTCCTTGTAATTTAATAATTTTATTATAAGAGAATTTGATTGTCATTGCAGTTATTAAAATGCAGTATAAAAATTCTTTATGCCGAAGTTTCGGCCTATGTTGCAGGCCTTCGTTAGGGCTGAACAAAGACGAAATAAAAAATAAATACTAGAAAAACAATTATGCAGTTAAATGTAAAAGTAATAAGTCTAGCATATGTAAGTACTACATATACTTACAAGTAGTTAAACTTACTTGTACAAGTACAAGTAATTAAACTTAGTATTAATAAATATATGGAATAGAAAATGTATGATATATAAATTTAGGAAGCTATAAAATAATGATAGCGTATTGGTAAAGTGAACAATGAGAAAACAATGGTACCGTGCAAAGTTTTAAAATTACGGTTATAATGCTAGGAACATATAAAGTAACAGTAACAAATTAATAAAATAAAGAATGAAATGATAAACAAAATAAAATGAAATATTAAGCAATATAAATGAATCGTGGTGGAAGCAGTCAAATATAGCGAATAGATTGTAGTTCAAATTTAAGACAAGAGAAACCTCGCCGTACAGAAACTGATATTAAAATATAGCGTATTATATGGTTACTAAAATAAAACAATGATTTTAATATTATACATTTTAATAATCCATATTTACGTATAGATATATTGCTATGAATTCAGGCAGTATCGTTAAGCTGAGGAAATTGATAAATGAATGAATGAATTAGTTAATAATCGATAGTTACCTATGGATAAATTCCTATGAATTCAGGCACTATCGTCAAGCTAAGGAAATTAATGAACGGATGAATTAATTATCATTATTAATTAATTAATAATCCATAGTTATCTCTGGATAAATTCCTGTGCTGAATGCAATTGAATTCAAGCAGT